ACAGATAAACCAATTATTAGGGTGGTATATTAGGGCTAACTTAGATTGTTAGAAATGCATAATTAAATAGTTAAAAATTAGGAGACTGTTATAGATGTGCATTTTTGATCTGGCGTAAACTGCAATTGAAGATATCAAATTTATTCCGATAATTATTATAAATTCTGCACATAGTTGTAATGGGCGAGAACACATGTACATTAGTTCTAGAAATTTCAGTATAAAAACATAAAGGGTTTCTAATGTTTGACCTGGGAACTAGAAAGCATAATTTTTCAACTAAAGCACTTGAATTTACAACACCATTCACCAGTTTAAAAAGAAAACAGAGAGACAAAGTTTCTCTCCTCTTTTCCAAGCTTTGAATGGAAAAGAGTACCAAAAGCTCATTTTGAGGAAAACCTCTACAAGGGTAATAGCCAAATGATTTGAAATGGAGGAATTTTAAAAATTTCCTTTGTAACTTTTCTAATTTGAGACAATGAACATCGTACCCTGGGGACCAAATAACACAACCATACTCTAGTTTTGATCTAACAAACGAAGTATACAAACTAAGGAGAGTACTATTAAGTTGAAAGCTTTTGCAATTACGAATGATAAATCCTAACGCCCTAATTGATGAGGAAAATATCTCATCATAATGATTAATGAAGGATAATTTTTGATCAAATATAATGCCTAAATCTCTCACGGTGGAAACACGTTTCAAAATGAAGCCGCCAATTTTATAGTCATATATACTATTGATATGCTTTAGAGAATATGTCATTACACTACATTTAGGAAGATTCAGCGACAGCCCTTTTACATTGCATGCTTGTTCTAATTTATAAAGATCAGCTTGAAGGAGAAGGTGGTCAGAAAATGTTATTTTTCTAAAGATTTTTAGGTCGTCAGCAGATAGAAGACACTCAGAGCTAAAGCCGATACTAATGTCATTAATAAACAAAATAAAGAACAGAGGTCCAAGAATGGACCCTTGCGGTACACCAGAAGTAACATGTACCTCAGTTGACTGAAAACCGCCAATGGTAACAACCTGCGTCCTGCCAATTAAATAAGAACTAAAAAGTTTAATTAGGAAATCTGACATACCAAAACTATCCAACTTGGCAATCAATTTAGAGTGGTCTAATCTGTCAAATGCTTTAGAGAAATCAGTGTATATACAATCCACCGAACATTTAGCATCAAAAGACTCGGAAACAAACTGAGTAAACGTACAAAGATTTGTTTCTACAGATCTGCCATTAAGAAAACCATGCTGTAAATCAGATATATAAGGCCTAACATGCCCGATAATAACATCATAAAGCAACATTTCGAATACCTTGGAAAAATTGCAGAGCAAGGTTATGGGTCGATAATTTTCGATTACATTTTTGTTTCCATTTTTGAAAACTGGACATATATTCGACTGTTTCCAAATGGACGGGTACTCACACTGTTTAATTGCTAGATTGAATATAGCACATAAGGGAGAAGCAAATACAGTTGCACAGTCGCTTAACATGAACGAGGGTATGCCGTCAGGACCAGCTGTTGTTTTGTTTTTCATCTTCCGTAGGGCATTAAATACTTCAGATTCATTAAACGATTTGATTAACAAAAGAAGTACAATTGTAGAAGAATTTGAAGAAGACATAGTTACAGATGGATTAGAAAGAATAAAAGATTTTTGAAAAAAGTCAGCAAAAGAGTTGACAATGTCTTCCGGTCGACTTAGTAGTTCATTGTTATAGGTCATCAGTTTAGGTATACTATTGTCTTTTTTCTTACTATGAATAAAGCGCCAAAAGCTGCTAGGATCAGATTGAATGTTGTTTTCAATTTTTTTAATATAATTGGCATAGGCATGTTGAATATCTGCTTTGACCTCAGTTCTTAGGATTTTAAAATTATCATAAGATTGCAAATCAGAATGTCGTTTGTAACGTGTCCATAATTTCCATTTTAGTTTTAGTTTAGAAATTATTTTAGCATCAAACCATGGAGGATATTGACGTTTTTTAAAGCGTTTAGTCTTAGGAACAGAAATGTCAAAGATCTCATATAATTTTGCATAGAACTGCAAGCACATGATATTTACATCAGTATGTTTAGACATGAAAGACCAGCCAGTATTACAAAGCAAGTTGTACAAAAGTGAAAAATCAGCTTTACAAAAGTTAAAAGATTTTAATCCGGGATTATGCAAGGGCTTGTCATAGAACATTTTCGTTCTAATTAAATTATTTAAATTAATTACTAAGCTCGGGTGATGGGAGTCTTCAGTTAATAAAATATCAACTGCTGCATTGACAGTGGTTTGTTTATTTGAAATAACCAAATCCAAAATTCTTCCATTGTTATTACGTACAAAGTTATGCTGATTACAGTCAGTCAAGTCGAGAAAATTTAAAAGTGATTCTGTTTTAGCATCGCGTATCAAGGAGTTTGCTAGAAAACTAGAGTAAGAGGGTATATTGAAGTCACCAACAATAATGATTCTATCATGTAATAAAGTATATAGAGAGGATAAAAGTTCAAAGAACAAATCCATATCAGCTGCACTAACTCTGTTGGCCGGAGGGATATATATTACAATAAAATAAACAATACTGTGACCTATAAAAATCTTGACCACAAGAATATCTATTACAAGTAAATCACTAAAATTTAAGTTATTTAAATCATATTTATACGAGGCAAAATTTGATTTAACCGCAAGAAGGACACCACCACCACGTTGACAATGAACATCCGAATATTTTCTGTCACTCCTATAGATTGTGTAATTATTATTAGAAATTTCTGAGTTATGGACAGAGTCGTTTAAAAAAGTTTCAGAAAAAGCAATTATGTCATAATGGCAGCTAGCCAATGCATTATATATTTCCGGGAGTTTGGTGTTTAAACCCCTAACATTTTGGTAGTAAGCAACTGGAGTAGGGGAATCATGCATTGAATTATTGGTGTTCATGTCACACGAGTAGCGGGGTATTGTTGGACTATCAGGGAGGAAAAGAGGACAAACATTTGATTGCTATATGGAAAGTCCAAACAAATCTTGTTTGACTTTTTGAATGACCATCTTGTACGAATGACATTTGTCATGATCCCAAGCTGCGTGATTAATATTAACGTCATGATTATTATTTTTGAAATTGAAGTTGTAACAATTGACACATTTAAAAGCTTCAACATCTGCCTGGCATTCCTTCAAATTATGACGATGAGCACACCGAGGACAATAAGAAGAATTTTTACAAAATTTGTGTGAATGACCATAGCTGTTACAATTAAAACATCTGGAAACGTCAATAGCATCGTATATAGTGCAACCATTGAGACCAACAAGGCAGTGTCCCAATGCTAGTGCCCTTTTATATGTCAACAAATCCACTTCAAAAACAGCTTGAAAAATGGTATTATTTTTTTTAACCGGGCCATATTTTAACAAAGTACAAATTGATTTTTCGTCAAAGATTGATTCATTTTGTTTTCTCATATATAAGGCAATGTCTTCTTCTTTTATGTAGTCAGGAATACCTGTAATTCTAACTCTTGGGCCAATAGTCTTGACTTCACGAATATCATACTGGTCTGACAGGTTATTCATGGCGCTTTGTTTAAAGTTACTTGAACTGTCACACTGCAGGAGCACACCACCATCTTTTAGATTTTTCACTTTCCCAATATTGATGTCCGTAAGAGGATCAACATTTTTTAAAACGTCTGATTTAGTTTTAGCAATTGACTGATTTTTCTGATTTTCACCCTTTGGCTTAACTATAATAGTTTTCTGAGAGTTTTTTATCAAAGTTTGGGCATAAGATGATTTAGCGTGCATTTCATCAGCATCAGCTGACATTATCTGATCACAAGGTTTAGAGGCGGGTAAGCATTTTTTTAAAATGATTATTTCATTACGCAATTTTGAATTTTCAAGAGATACATTATTAACTGATTTTTCTAACATCGAAATAGTGTCAGTTAATGGTTTCAATTGGTTTCCAATGATTGATTCGATCATTTTCAAAGAATGAGGAGACAAATTAAGTTCAGAAACTAAAGGAATGGATTGAGTATGAGAAGCAGCAGAGGCAGAGGCAGAAAGTGAACAAAAAGCACACAATCAGGATGTTAATTTTCTTTCCATTTGAAGCTGATTGTAAGCATCATCATCAATGTTAACACATTCATTGTGAAAATTCGATTTACAAACATTACAGGACAAATAGTTCTGACTTCTAGTTACGGTGCTATTGCATTTACTGCATTTTATAGCCATTTTCGACACTCGCAAGTGCTGAAATCACACTGCGGCCAGTTTGGGGTCAAGTAGAAGATAAGCGAATTCTGCCAAAAAAGTCGACGGTATTCTTACCGAATGATAACGAACTCAATCAAAATGTGAAAGTCGGAAGGAAACATAGAACATGTTTCCTTCGACAAAAATTAACAAACCAATCTATTCGTCAGTATATATAATTATTTAGATTCAGGAGAGGCTCAAATCAATATGGAACAAACTCACCTAAATGATTCGAATGTACGGAGCGACAAAATGCACGTCTACACTCTGCTAGCACACGAATTCTATTTTTTTTTGGTTTGTTTTCTTGGAAGTGTTATAATTTTGATGCGGCTTGAATTTGAACATTTATTCTCTAAGTACGCCGAGCATTTACGCGACCAGATCATTGTGATTTTGATCGTATCGAATGTTACTTTTATGATGGTGGCGTAATTAATTAACTCTGGTTACGTCCTCTGTAATAATAAATTATATTTTTATTTTGCAAAAAAATGTGAACACTAAATTATTTCTGTGTCAAATTAATTATCTGTCAACACAAATATTTTTACCCAGTTGTCTGTAACATTTTTATAAATGACGAGTTTGTGTTCTTGCAATGTTACCTAATTGTTGAATTTTTTTGGAATAGGTCGCGCTGCACGCTTAGCTCGGGTGACGCAACGTCAACTGAGCGATCAAAGCAAACACACACACGTTTTCTTACATCTATTTTATTAGTTATTTAGTATGATACATAACCTTTTAAAATGGGCACCAGTAAAATATAAATACAAAATAACTGCTTACTTCCGAATAATAGAAACATCGACAACAAAATCAGAACAAAGTTCAGAATACATTTTCAAACTCATTCGGAATTAACGCCAAAATTTAGAATAACTCTGTTTTCAACACATATTTAGGCGATTCATTACATTTTGTCTTAAATTTTAATCATAACATATAATAAAATATACTTCAAAAACCTAAGTAGAAAATAAAATATTTCAATGGAAAAAATCTTGAGTACAAATTCCATTATTTAAAGTTTATCACCACATTTTTTTTCCATTTTGCTAGCTCAGCAGCGATCGAATTTCTTTGTGCATATGAATTAAGAAATCCACGTAACTCGGGGATCCGTCTGTGCCGCGATCCTCCGCCAGGAAGTGTTTAAAGACAGGCTCCAACTTCTCCCTCTGTCTGACAATAGTTAACTAAAACCGAACAATAATACATACAAACGCGTAAAATTAAGTTGGCGACGCACCCTCATACACTTGTGCCTCTGTATCCTGATTTCCTCGACGATCGTCCTCACGGCCAGCGACAGCGGATTGTCTAGCTCGGGCAGCGCCACCGTCTCGATGTTCACCTGGATGGCGGACGGCGCCCCAAACACTTGCTGGACGAAGTTGGGATTGGCGCCCAAACCGATCCACAAGAACATGTGAATACCATTTTCTGCAAAACGAGTCATTATAGCCACCCGCAATTCCACCCGTTACTAAACTCACCCAAAATATACACCCCTTGCTCGTTCATTTTATCTACAGTACACCTAATCGGCGCCGGGATCTCCACAGGGTCCTGCGTCGGGTCCAAATCCACCAGAGGAATCAACCTCGGGTAGAAGTAGTTCACGCTCGTCGGTATATCCATGATCATGACCTCCTGCATGACGAACGACCGGTCGTCGACTGTCATGTCCGCGCCTCCGGACAGCGCGTCGCTCTTGAGTAAACAATTGACATACAAAGGCAGCAGTTTCATGCATTCGGGTAGGATGAGCTGGCCGGCGCTGCTCGGGCTTGCGCAGTTCTTGCGGTAGGTGGCCAGGATCTGCGCGGCTCGGGTCACTATGCTATCTTTGACGGCTTTCGGGTTGTGCTCGAAGAGTTTGTACGTGGCCTGTTTGGAGATGTAGTTGATGATGGTATCACAATCGCAGTTTCTGTACAGGTCGGCCATTTGTGAGCAAGTCTTCAAAGATAGGTTCATGATGCGGAGGCGGCGCTGGCCGGAGCAGGAGGTGTAGAGCAAGGCGGCTTGGATGTACACGCCCTCTTCTTCGGAAAGTTTGTCGTCGTGCTTGATTTCGACAGCTATGGCTTTATCACAGTCTGAGAAAACAAAAATATATTAGGGGTAGCGAACTTTACTGCTTGAATTTGAACAAAATCCGCTCTTATGCTACATGGGTATAGAGAAAGTAGAAAATAATATTTTAAATGTAACTCGAGTGTGGCTTTCAACATTTTGTATTTTATTAAGAGGGTCGGCCACGAAAAAACCGGAAGAAACAACTCGATTAAGAAAAGAGTAAAAAAAAACACCAAAAAATCAGCGAACAATAGGCGCCAAAGTGGTAAAGAAACAAAAAAAGCGATTAAAAAGTACCAAAAATCTACAAAATAAATGAAATAAAGCGCAAAAGGGAGATATTTGCAAGGAATAAAAGACGGATAAATAGTTGCCAAAAAGTTACTAAAAAAGTGCCAAAGGAGACAAAACAACGATATTAACCGACAATAAAAAAATTCGCATAAAAAAACACAAAAGGGCATAAAAAAATGTTGAAAATGTGGCGAAAAAGGAGAAGTGATTAAGAAAAAGGATAAAAACATATCTTCAAAAAGAGGCAAAATAACCTGACTAAAAAACAACAAAAAATGCACCAAGACAAACAAAAAAAATCCGAAGAAAAGCCGTTAAGAGGAACAAAAAAAAAAATAACGCGATTAAGAAAATGGCAATAAGAAACGTCGAAAAAAACATAACACGATTACGAAAAAGGATAAACAAAATTTCTCAAAAAAAAAGAGCGGGAGGGATCGGCGTCAAAAAGTGGTAACAAATCGAAAGAAGCACCAAAAAAGCTGATGAAAAGCCAACAAAAAAACAGCGAAAGTAAACAAAAAAGGGATAAAGATAAAGCGAAAGAAAAGGCAAAAAAAAACAGAAAAATAATGTAAAAAGAAAGGTTACAAAAAATGTCAAAAAAGCACAAAGAGAAATAATAAAAAGATACAAAAAAAGACGATAAATGTGTACAAAAAAAGCGTACCAAAAAAGGTGAAAAAACAAAGTCATGAAAAAAGGGAAAAAGAAGAGGTTAAAAAAAACGGGTTTAAAAATATTGTTAAAAAAGGTTATAAAAAAAACCGTGTCAAAAAAGCTAAAAGGAGATAAAATAACATGACTAAAAAAAAGCCTACTGAACCTGACAAAAAAGCACCATAAAGTAAACACCAAGAGAGGCAAAAATAGGGCAAAAAAAGGAATAAAGCAAAGGCGAAAACAAGCAAAAAACTAAGTAAAAAAAAAAATCGAAAACGAAAGATGACAATAAATGTAAAATTAAGCAAAATAAAAACAAAAAATGCGCCAAAAAGTGGTAATCAAAAAAGGCGATTAAAAAAAGGACCAAAAACCCACAAAAACAATGAAAAAGGGAGATAAAGAAGACGAATAAAAAACGGATACAAAGTCAGAAGGGTCAGAAAAAAAGAAGATATAACAACGATATCAACAGCCAACAAAAAATTTCAGAAAAACCCCAAAAAAGTGGAGAAGAAAAAGGCTTCAAGAGAGATAAAAATGCAAAAAGGGCACAAGAAGGCATAAAAAAATGTCGAAAATGCGGCGAAAAAGGCGACGTGATTAAGAAAAAGGATAAGAACATGTCTGCAAAAAAGCGTAAAAAAAAAACAAAACAAAAAGGCGGTGAAGGATACGCGCCAAAAAGCGGTAAAACGCAAAAAAGGCACAAAAAGCGAAGTAAACAAAAATTGATAAAGAAAGGTTACGAAAGTGTAAAACACAAGCGAAAAAAGCAAAAAAACGTGACTAAAAAAAAAACGAAAAAAAAACGAAGAAAAGCCATTAAGAGAGGGGCAAAAAAATTAAAAAATTGCTAAAACTGCCAAAAAAAAGGTTACAAAAAAAATCTCCAAAAAAGGGCGAAAAAAAGGACCCAAAACAACACGATTAAGAAAAAGGCAATAATAAACGTCGAAAAAAGGAGACAACATAATAACACGATTATTACGATTACGAAAAAGGATAAAAAAAATTCTCCAAAAAAGAACAAAAAACAAATAGAGTGCGAACCAAAAAAGGTGATGAAAAGCGAAAAAAAAAACGGCGAAAGAGCAAAAAAAGGGAAAAGATAAAGCCAAAAAAAGCAAAAAAACAAGAACAATAATAATCGAAAAAGAAAGGTTTCAAAAAATGTAAAAAAGCACGAAAAGAAATAATAAAAGGAAAAAAAAAACGGTTTTAAAATATTGTTAAAAAAAGGTTATAAAAAACCTACTGAAATAAACGTGACAAAACACCAAAGAGAGGCAAAAATGGGAAAAAAGGAATAACGCCAAGGCGAAAAAAAAACTAAGTAAAAAAAATCGACAACGAAAGATTACAATAAATGTAAAAAAAACACAAAGAGAAACAGGAAACAACGCGATTTAAGAAAAAAAGTCAAAAAAAAAAAAAACGCAAAAAAGAAAACAAAAAATCCGCGAACAATAGGCGCCAAAAAGTGGTAATCAAAAAAGGCGATTAAAAAAGGACCAAAAAACCCACAAAATTAATGAAATAAAGCGAAAGGGAAATAAAGAAGAGGAATAAAAAACGGATAAAAAGTTGCCAAAAAAAGTTACTAAAAAAGTGCCAAAGGAGACAAAACAACGATATTAACAGGCAATAAAAAATTTCCCATAAAAATCAAAAAAAGGGGCGAAAAAAGGCGTCAAGAGGGGTAAAACTAAAAATGAAAAAAAAGGGCTCAAAAAGCCATAAAAAAATTTCGAAAATGCGGCAAAAAAGGAGACGTGATTAAGAAAAAGTATAAAAACATATCTCAAAAAGCGGTAAAACGCAAAAAGTGACCAAAAAAGAGAAGCGAAAATGAGGTAAAAAACGAATTAAAAAAAATGTACAAAGAAAGGTTACGAAAGTGTAAAAAAGAAGCGAAAATAGGAGACAAAACAAAGCGACTAAAAGAAACGAAAAAACACAACAAAAAATACACAAAAGAAAAACAAACAACAAAAAAAATCCATTAAGAAAATGACAATAAAAAAATTTACAAAAAAAAAAATGCAAATAAAAGGGCAAAAAAAAGGACAACAAAAAACGTTGAAAAAAGGAGACAACATAACACGATTACGAAGAACGATAAAAAAAAATCTCCAAAAAAGAACGAAAAACAAAAAGGGCGCGAAGAAAGAGGTAAAAAATCAAAAAAGGTGATGAAAAACATAAAAAAACGGTGAAAGACACCAAAAAAAATGGATGAATATAAAGCAAAAAAAAGGCAAAAAATCACGAAAAATAATCAACAAAGAAAGGTTGCAAAAAATGCCAAAAAAGGACAAAGAGAAACAGTAAATGCGGAAGAAAAGGTATCAACAGAGAGGGAAAAAAATGAAGAAAAAGATAAAAAAAGACAACAAAAAAAGGATAAACAGCGCACCAAAAAATGGTAAACAAAAAAGGAATAAGAAAAGGCGAAAAAATGGTATTAAAAAAAAACTACAAAGAAAGGTTACGAAAGTGTAAAAAAGAAGCGAAAAATGGGAGGCAAAACAAAGGGACGTAACAAAAAATACACAAAAGAAAACAAACAACAAAAAATCGGTAAGTGTCAAAAAAAGACCCAAAATAACGCGATTAAGAAAATGACACTAAAAAAATTTACAAAAAAAAAAAAAATGCAAATAAAAGGGCGAAAAAAAAGACAACAAGAAACGTTGAAAAAAAGAGACAACATAACACGATTACGAAAAAGGGTAAAAAAATCTCCAAAAAAAGAACGAAAAACAAAAAGGGCGAGAAGAATTAGCGCCAAAAAGTGGTAAAAAATTAAAAAAGGTGTGATGAAAAGCATAAAAAAACCGGTGAATGACAGCAAAAAATGGATGAATATAAAGCGAAAAAAAAAAGGCAAAAAAATACACAAAAGAAAACAAACAACAAAAAAATTGGTAAAAGTGCCAAAAAAAGACCCAAAATAACGAGATTAAGAAAATGACAATAAATTTACAAAAAAAAAAAAAAAAAACCTGCAAATGAAAGGGCGAAAAAAAGGACACCAAAAAACGTTGAAAAAAGGGTACAACATAACACGATTACGAAAAAGGATAAAAAAAATCTCCAAAAAAAAAGAACGAAAAACAAAAAGGGCGCGAAGGATAGGCACCAAAAAGTGGCAAAAATTCAAAAAAGGTGATGAAAAGCATAAAAAAAAACTGTGAAAGACAGCAAAAAATGGATGAATATAAAGCGAAAAAAGGCAAAAAATCACGAAAAATAATCAACAAAGAAAGGTTGCAAAAAATGCCAAAAAAGGACAAAGAGAAACAAAAGCAAATGCCGAAGAAAATGCGTCAACAGAGGGGCAATAAAACAAAAAAAAAAAAAAAAAAAAAGCAGCGGATTAACAGCGCACCAAAAAATGATAAACAAAAAAGCAAAAAATAATCAAAAAAGGAATAAGAATAGGCGAAAAAATGGAATTATAAACAGGTCGTTAAAAAAAAGTCGTAAAAAAACGTGTAAAAAAACAATTTAAAAGGAGATAAAATAACGCCACTAAAAAAACTAATAAAATAAAGGTGATAAAAAACCACCATAAAATAAGCACCAAAAGAGGTGAAAATGGGGCAAAAAGTCATCAGGTAAAGGCAAAAAAGCAGGTAAAAAATCCACACAAGAAGGTCTCAAAAAATGTCAAAAAAGCAAAAAGTTGTTAAAAACGAAATAAGAAATGCTGAAAAAAAACGAGTTTTAAAAAAGATCGCGAAAAAACGTTATTAAAAAAACGCGTCAATAAAAAGCGAAAAGGAGATAAAATAACGTGACTAGAAAAAGTTAATAAAATAAACGTGACCAAAAACACCACGAGAGGCAAAAATAGGCATAAAGCAAAGGAGGAAAAAGGAAAAAAAAATCGACAAAGAAAGTTTATAAAAAATGTCAAGAAAATACAAAGAGAAACAAAAAAGAAGAAAAGGCGTCAAGGGAAGGGCAAAAAGAAAATGAAAAAAAAAAAAATACAAAAAAGGCGATAAAAGTGTCAAAAAAAGGTTACAAAAAGAACCTACAAAAAAGGCAGCCGAAAAAGAATGCACAAAAAAAAAGGTGAATAAAAACAAAAATGTCGTCAAAAAAGACCGGTTAAAAAAATGGAAACAAAGGCAATTAAAAAAAGCGACCAAAACACCAAAAAAAGCCGTCAAAAGAGCAGTAAAAACGAAAAAAGATGCAAAGAAAAACGAGAAAAATTGGTAAGAAAAAAGTTGATAAAGAAGCGTCCAAAAAATGGTTAGAAAAACAAAGTCCAAGTAAGAGATGTGACAAAAAGTGGCAAGGAAAAGCTCCTAAAATAGCGACAAAAAAAGCGCCTAGAAAAAAAAAGTGAAAATAGGCAAAAAAATAGGAGGCGAAAAAAGCAGTGAAAAAACTCAAAAAGGCGATAAAAAAAAGGCAACAAAAAAAAGCAATAAAGAACACAATTAAAAAAATGTCAAAAAAGGGGCAATAAAAAAGCGGAAAAAAGGGAGACAAAAAATTGCGACTAAAAAAATAAAAAAAATAAACGAACTTGGCAAAAGGACGGGAAAAGCAGACAAAAAAAAAACTACAAAAAAGCAACGTGAAAAGTCTATTAAAAAAAAAAGGGGGACAAAAATAAGGCGTAAATAAAAGACCGAAAACAAGTGAAAAAAAAACACGATAAAAAAAGAGCAAAATCAAATGACAAAAGGCAACAACAAAAAAAAAAGACACTGATAAACCGCAAATTTACATCAAGGAAAATTTATAAAAGGCGTGATCTAGTTTTGGGAGCGAATAAAAAAAAATCGTGAAAAATGATTTTGTTTAACATTTTACTATCTATGCGATATTCCTAAAATATACCTCAAATTTCCATCTAGTAGTTTCGGAGATTCTCTGACGGGAAAATTATTGACAAAAAAACGCTACACAAAACGTCTCATATTGTATCGAAAAGATATACTTTTTCGAGAAATTGTACCGCGAAATTATTTAATTCAGAACGACCCTTTTTCTTTCTAAATACTTATTATTACTGAAGTAGTGAAGTTTGTTAACTAACTTTGCCCTATGTACTTATTTATTTATAGATAACTCAAGACTGAGAAAGTAGCTCTCTTTTTTTCTATTACAAAAGTTAAGTTAGAAATAATTATTACAAAGTCTAGAAAAAAAAAACACTTACCGACAGCTGCAAGCTCCATATCCGTCGTATTCGACATAAAGAAATGCCCATAGAAATCCGTGGGCCTCACCCCCGTCGAGGTCCTCACCCTCATAATCGAATCGAACGCAATCGGTCTGCTAATATTCGTGATAACATCCTTAATCAGCCGCTCCCCGTCCATGTCCGCCTGCCAAAAACCAAAACCTCATCCCCTCATCCACCTCCACGCCAACCCTCACAACCTACCTGGAAGTACGTATACTTGTGCACTTCTCCCCCCGTCAACCTGGACACCTGCCCGATCGTCGCTATATCAATATAGGCGTTATTAAAAATGAACAGATCCACCGAACAGCCCGCCGCCACGCAGTCCTGCCCCAGCTGGTTGTACGCCTGCGTCTGCGGCGTCAGGATCGTGCGTTCCTTATCGGTCGCCAGGAGCTTCCTGTCGTCGCGATTTTTCAATTTGCCGGGACCTTCGGCGGTCGGCAGACTCGAATGGAACACCATCAGTTTCCCGGCGCACTCGGACGCCTGCAAAATAATTCAGCGTCCTGCAGGACTAAGGGGCAGTAAAAACCGACCTTGAGCGCCTCGAGACCCGCCAGAATTGCCGGCAGGAGGATCGTTTCCGTCTCCCGGGTGTCGCCGAACATGGCCGGGATTTGCTGCATGAGGGAGTCTATGACAGGGCCGGACTCCTCGGGGGTGCAGAGGAAGCCGTCGAGAAGCGGCATGAACATTTCTTGGATGTCGCCGACGATCAGCATTTGGGGGGCCGCCAGATTTCCCTACAGAACAATAGTAAAAAATTGAACACAGAAATTTCCTCGTTTCTGAAGTACGGAATTATAGATATTTTTTGCATTTTTTGTTTTCTGATAACCTCTATTGACTTGAATTTTTCATTTTTTTGTTTCTTCAGTTTTTCGATTAGGAATTTTCACATTTTTAGACTTTGCGATTTTTCGATCGAACATTTTCTCGACTTTTCAATTTTTAATTTTTCGTTTTTTCAAATTTTCGATTTTATAATTGTGTTTTTTCAATTTTTCGTTTCTTTAATTTTTCGATTTTTAATTTTTTCTCTTCAAGTATTCATTTTTAAAATTTTGACATTTTCGGTTTTCCAACTTTTGGATATTTCAATTTTTAGATTTGCGATTTCATGAGTTTTCAATGTTTGGATTATTTAATTTTCATTTATTCAAAATTTCGATTTTATGATTCTGTTTTTTTCAATTTTTCGATTATTCAATTTTTCCATTTTTAATTTTTTCTCTTCAATTTTCACATTTTCGATTTTCCAACTTTTCGGTTTTTTTTATTTTTTCAATTTGTCGGTTCTTCAATGTTCTGATTTTTAACTTTTCCTTTTTCAATTTGAAATTTGTCAATTTTTGGATTTTTCAATTTTTCGTTTCTTCAATTTTTGGATTTGCAATTTTTCTAGTTTTCATTTTCAATATGTAATAATTTTAATTTTTTTTAATTTTTTCAATTTCACGATTTTAGAATTTTTCTATTTTTCAATTATTTGATTTTAAAACAATTGAATTTCGTTTATGCGATTTTTAATTTTTGAATTTCTTGGTATTTAATTTTTCAATTTTTCGATCTTTCAATGTTGCAGTTTTCCGACTTCACAATTTGGTTTCATTTCCTCAATTTTTCAACTATTAGATTTTTTAATTTTCCGTTTTTCTAAATGATTTTTCAATTTTTCATTTCTTGAATTTTTGATTTGCAATTTTTCTAGTTTTCATTTTAAATATGTAATATTGTTTTTTTTACTTTTTCAATTTCACGATTTCAAAATTTGTCTGTTTTTCTGTTATTGAATTTTAAAACGTTTTCAGTTATTCGGTTTTCCGATTTTTAATTTTAGAATTTCACGATATTTAATTTTTCAATTTTTTTTCGATTCTACAATTTTGATGATTCTATAATTTTCGATTCAATTCTTTTTTTCTTTCCAATTTCTCGATGCAAAATTTTTTCCGATTTTTGAATTTATAGATTTTTTTTGTTTTTTAATGTTTCAATTTTTCGTTTCTTCAGTTCTTCGATTTGCAATTTTTCTTTTCGTTTTTATTTTCTTTACTTTTGCATTTTTTGGATTTTTCAATGTTTCGATCTTATAAATATTTTTTTGATTTCGATTTTTGAATGTTTTTATGCATATGTCGATGTGCAATTTTTCACTTTTTCAATTTTACGATTTCAGAATTTTTCTATCTTTTAATTATAGGAAATTAAAATATTTTCGTTTATTCGATTTTTAATTTCTCGGTATTTAATTTTTCGATCTTTCAATGTTACAGCTTTCCGACTTTACAATTTGGACAAATCTATAATTTCTGAATTTTCATTTCTTAAGTTTTTTGTACTGTTTTTTATTTTCTTTATTTTTAACATTTTTCAGGTTTTCAGTGTTCTGTTTTTACCTTAATCTTTCTTTTTTTAATCTGAAAATTTTCAATTTTTTCATTTTTCAGTTTTCCCGATTTTTCAATTTTTCATTTCTTTGATTTTTTATTTGCAATTTTTCTAGTTTTCATTTTCATTTCATGTAATAATTTTTTTTTTCAAATTCTACCACTTAATTTTTTTATGTTTTTAAGTAATTGAATTTTAAAACTTCTTCATTTATTCGGTTTATCCATTTTTCGATTTTATCCATATTTAATTTTTCAATTTTTAATCTTCCGATGTTACAGTTTTTCGATTTTACAATTTTGACGATTCTATAATTTTTCGATTTTTAAATGTATACATTTTTTTTGTTTTTTAATGTTTCAGTTTTTCGTGTCTTCAATTCTTCGATTTGCAATTTCTCGTTTCGGTTTTTATTTTCTTTACTTTTGTATTTTTCGATTTTTCAATGTTTCCATTTTTTAATTTTTCGTTTCTTCCATTTTATTAGATTTGCAATTTCTTTAGTTTTCATTTCAAATATGCAATAATAATTATTAAAAAACAATCACTTTTTCAATTTTACCATTTTAGGTTTTTTCTACTTTTCATTTATTGGATTTTAAAACGTTTTCATTTACCCGAATTTTAATTTTTCAATCTTCCAATGTCACAGTTTTTCGACTTTAAAATTTTGACGATCCTATAATTTTTCGCTTCAATTCGTTTTTTCTTATCAATTTTTCTAATCATTAATTTTTTCGATTTTTTTCGTTTTTCGATCTGCTATTTTCGTTTTGATTTTTATTTTCTCTGAGTTTACAATTTTTGGATTTTTCAATGTTTCGACCTTATAATTTGTATTTTTCAAATTTTGGATATTTTAATTTTACGTTTTTTCAATTTTAGATTTGCAATTTTTCTAATTTTCTTTTTAAATACATAATGTAATAATATTTTAAAAAATTTCTCATTTTTCAATTTTAGGATATTAGAACTTTTCTATTTTTGAATTATTGGATTTTAAAACTTTTTCTTTTATTCGATTTTTCAATTTTTGAATTGTCGATATTTAAATTTTCAATTTTTTAATCTTTCAATGTTAGTTTTTCGACATTGAAATTTTGACAATTCTATTGTTTTTCGATTCAATTCCTTTTTTATTTCTTTACAATTTTTCGCTTTTTAATTTTTCAATTTTTTGTCTCCTCAGTTCTTCGGTTTGCAATTTTCAGTTTCTTCAGTTCTTTGATTTGCAATTTTTCGTTTCGGTTTTTATTTTCTTTACTTTTGCATTTTTTGGATTTTTCAATGTTTCGATCTTATAAATATTCTTTTAATTTCAATTTTTGAATTTTTTTATCTTTTAATTATTGGAATTTAAAATATTCTCGTTTACTCGATTTTTCGATTTTTAATTTCTCGATATTTAATTTTTCAATTTTTCGATCTTTCAATGTTACAGTTTTCCGACTTTACCATTTGGACGATTCTATAATTTTTGAATTTTCATTTCTTAAATTTTTCGTTCGGTTTTTTTGTTTTCTTTATTTTTAAAATTTCTCGGTTTTTCAATATCGTTTATGCCTTAATCTTTCTTAATTTGAAAATTTTCAATTTTTTTTCAGGTTTCCTGATTTTTCAATTTTTCGTTTCTTTGATTTTTTATTTGCAATTTTTCTAGTTTTCATTTTCATTTTATGTAGTGATTTTTTTTTCAATTCTATCATTTAAAAATTTTTGTTTTTCAGTTAATGAATTTTAAAACTTTTTCATTTATTTGGTTTTTCAATTTTTCGATTTTTAATTTTTGAATTTATCGATATTTAATTTTTCAATTTTTAATCTTTCGATTTTACAATTTTGACGATTCTATAATTTTTCGATTCAATTTGCTTTTTCTTTCAATTTTCGGTGCATTTTTTTTTGACTTTTAAATGGATAATTTTTTTTGTTTGTTTTTTAATGTTTCAATTTTTCGTGTCTTTAATTCTTCGATTTTTCAATTTTTCTATATGTGGATTTGCAATTTTTCGCTTTTTCAACTTTCAGATTTTTAAATTTTTCGTTTCTTCCATTTTAGATTTGGAATTTCTCTAGTTTTCATTTTAAATATGTAATAATAATTATTAAAAAAAAATCACTTTTCAATTTTACTATTTTAGGTTTTTCCTACTTTTCAATTATTGGATTTTAAAACGTTTTCATTTACCCGATTTTTAATTTTTGAATTAGTCGATATTTAAATTTTCAATTTTTCAATCTTTCAATGTTACAGTTTTTCGACTTTAAAATGTGGACGATTCTATAATTTTTCGATTTTTAATTTAATTAATTTTTCGTTTTTTAAAGTTTCAATTTGTCGTTTCTTTAGTTCTTCGGTCTGTAATTTTTCGGTTCGGTTTTTATTTTCTCTGAGTTTACAATTTTTGGAGTTTTCAATTTTTGTATTTTTCAACTTTAGATTAGCAATTTTTCTAGTTTTCATTTTAAATACATGTAATCACAATATTTTTAAAAATTTCTCATTTTTAAATTTTAGTATATTAGAATTTTTCTATTTTTGAATTATTGGATTTTAAAACTTTTTCTTTTATTCGACTTTTCAATTTTTCGATTTTTAATTTTTGAATTGTCGATAGGTATATAAATTTTCAATTTTTTTATCTTTCAATGTTACAGTTTTTCGAGATTGAAATTTTGACGACTCTATAATTTTTTGATTCACTTCGTTTTTTTTCTTTACAATTTTTCGCTTTTTAATTTTTCAATTTTTTGTTTCTTCAGTTCTTCGGTTTGCAATTTTTCGTTTTGGTTTTTATTTTTTCTGGTTTCAAAATTTTTCGAATTTTCAATGTTTCGATTTATAATTTTTTGTTTTTTCAATTTAAATTTTTCGATTTTTGGATTTTGCAATTTTTCGCTTTGCAATTTTTGGTTTTTAAAATTTGATATATTTTAATTTTTCGTTTTCTCAATTTTTCAGTTTTTCGTTACTTCAGTTTTAGATTTGCAATTTTTTTATTTTTCATTTTAAATATGTAATAAAAATAATTTTTAAAATTTTTCATTTTTCCATTTTACGATATTCAATTTTTTGTTTCGGTTTCTATTTTCTCTGCTTTTACATTTTTTTCGGTTTTTCAATGTTTCGATTTTATAATTTTTTGTTTTTTTAATTTTTCGTTTTTTCAATTTTAGATTTGCAATTTTTCTAGTTTTATTCTAAATAAGTAATAACAATAATTTGTAAAATTTTCATTTTTCCATTTTAGATATTTGAATTTTTCTATTTTTAATTTTTGAATTTGTCGATATTTGAATTTTCAATTTTTCAATCTTCCAATGTTGCAGTTTTTCGACCTTCAAATTTTTACGATTCTATAATTTTTCGATGCAATTTGTTTTTTCTTCTTTCCAATTTTCCTATTTATTAATTTTTTTAGATCTCTAAGTATATCAATTTTTCGTTTCTTTAGTTCTTCGGTTTGCAATTTATGGTTTCGGTTTTTATTTTCTCTGCTTTTACAATTTTTCGATTTTATAATTTTTTCTTTTTCCAATTTTAATTTTTGGATTTTTCAATTTTTCTCGTTGCAATTTTGAGGTTTTTCAAATTCTGGATACTTTCATTTTTCTTTTTTTCAATTTTTGATTTTTCAGTTTCTTAATTTTTCAGTATTTCGTTTCTTCAATTATTGATTTGTAATTTTTCTAGTTTTCATTTTAAATATGTAATAACCATAATTTTTAAAATTTTTCATTTTTTTCATTTAACAATATTAGAATTTTTCTATTTTTCAATTATTGGATGTGAAAACTTGTGGTTTCGGTTTTTATTTTCTCTGCTTTTACAATTTTTCGATTTTTCAATATTTCGATTTTATAATTTAATAAAAATAAGGATACATTTCAAAACCAAAAATGAAAAGACGAAAAAGTATACAATGAAAATTTCGAAAAATCTAAAAGAACTTGGAGAACAAAAAATTAATAAATTTAGAAGTCGAGAAATTGAAAAAATTAAGAAAAAACGAAAAATCGTGACATCAAAAAATTGTAAAATCGAAAACGAAACCGATTTTTTCGCTCAAAACTGACCTTGATGTTGTAGAAGTGAACCGAGCTATTGTAAGTGATGAAGCCGACCCTCATATTGCTCTTCTCTTGTCCTTGATCGACAGGCAGGTTCTGAATGATGTCCTTGATCCTTGAGCACAACAAATGAACTAAACCGGACTTGACGTTATTGTACGAAACGTCAATAACGAAAATAATCGCCGGGGGTTTTGGTAGGGCGTTATTACGGCAGTATTCAGGAGTCGCCACGAACTCGTAAGTCCCTAGTACCAGCTCTGGACGCTCGTAGCGGTCCAGTCGCTGCCCGGTATGGTCTAGATGCTGGAAGTACTCAGCTGGAACTGCAACAAAAAATTGGTACCGTTGAGCAACTGAGCGCGTTTCAGCAGCTACGCTGTACACAAACGTAGGTGTAACGTACCATCAGTTGTTGCTTTGCAGAACAGGCACTGGAAACGTCTTCCAGAGTCGATAAATTGCATGTAAGGACACATATAAGCTTTACACCGAATGCAACGAACTGGACCTAGATCTCCGAAGTTGACGATAGGCGGAGGATATTCTTGATCGACGGTCCTTGCCATTGGACTAATGACTAAACTGAATGGCACGGCGGTTTGCTTCATTATATCCTGTAAGTTCACGTTTGAAAAGGTTATAAAATTACGAGAAATTTCTTATACCTGAGAAATGGGTACGTTATACATGCTAGATCTTATAAACCTGGGGCTCGAGTTTCCTTGATCTTGGACAATGAAGTTGGTTGTTACGAGGGGAGGCACTAAACCCTTCTGATTGGTACAGAATATACCAGATCTGTTTTGTTGATCATCTTGGGTCACTTGGATCTGAACAAAATATACAGTAAAAGCCAAATTTATTGACACATTGCATTATAATTATAATTTTTCTCTAGGAATTATTTTTATTCTTACCGGACTCGGCATTTGATCAGGATCCAAGCGCCTAGCTTGCTGCGGTTGCTGATAAGCAGGCTGTGGATACGAACCCACGCCGCCCCCAGGAGCCGGTTGCTGTCCGGGCATTGGCGGGTATCCAGGTCCCGGTGGTGCCCTCATTTGTTGCCCATTCATATACTGTTGTTGGTTTAGCGGCGGCGGCATATGGGGCCCGCCCTCCCCATTTATGGTACTCCCCGGGTACTGTCGTCCCGGTCCCAAGTTCATTCCTTGCATCTGATTGGCCAACTGATTAGGACCCAGAGGTGGTTGCCCTGGTAACGGCGGCTGATTGGGTCCTGGCATAGGTTGTCCAGGAAGAGGTGGCTGATTGTACTGCCTATTTGGGGGCATTGGGCCCCCAGGCGGTCCCTGATTGAACTGACTTTGTCGATGTGCTTGATTAAATGGCGGCTGACCAGGAAGAGGGGGTTGTCCTGGTAATGGGGGCTGTCCATGCAGTGGTGGTTGGCCAGGTAGTGGGGGCTGCCCGTGCCCAGGTAGTGGGGGTTGCCCGTGCCCAGGTAGTGGGGGTTGCCCGTGCCCAGGTAGTGGGGGTTGCCCGTGCCCAGGCAGTGGTGGCTGCCCCTGCCCAGGTAAAGGAGGCTGTCCAAGAAGCGGCGGCTTGCCTGCCCCCGGCGGCGGCTGGCTTACTGGAGGACCAGGCACTGGCGGCTGGGAGGTGGGTTGTGGAGCCGAGACAGGAGGCGCGTTGGTTGGTGGAGGGGCAGCCGAAACGGGGGGTTGATTGCTTGGAGGTGGTTGACTGAACGCAGACTGAGTAGGAGTAGGTTGAGGGAAAGACGGTTGAGAGCCAGGAGGCGGTTGATTGCTCGACGGTGGTTGACTGAAAGGTGCCTGATTGGTAGAAGGTGGTTGAAATGGAGGCTGATTGGGTAGGGGAGGTTGGCCCGGTCTAGGTGGGTGTGGTTGATTGAGCTGGCCTGGTGGTGGGGGTCCAGGGGGCTTGTTTGTTGCAGCGGGCGGTTGAACTATAACAACAACATAGTTATTGGTGCACAGTTGAGCAACATTAAACCAAAATAGCGATTTCATTGTACAGCAATTGTTCCTATACTATACTACCAATCATAATGGTCATGTAGGCGTCCAATAAAATTTTTTACCAACTTTTAAGCATCCTATAGACAGCTAATTTTAGCCACACCCACACCACCTTCAAAAATTATTTATTTAAAAATTCCATTACCCTGTGGCGGCAACGACGGCGTCGAGGTCGGCGGCGGCCCGAACCCGGGCCCGTTCTGCACGTGCGGCGGCCCGTTCTGGAACTGCGGCGGCCCATTCATAAACTGCGGGGGCCCGTTCTGCGCCCCCGGCGGCGGCCCGCCGGGTTTCATTGCGAATTGGGTCGGCGGAAAGCCTGGGGGCCTCTGATCCTGCACCATCGACGGAGGCAACTGGCTTGGAGGCACTTGTGACCTCAAATTCGGCATGTTGGGGGGGAATTGTCCAGATGGAGGGCCCATGTTGGGTGTGGAGCCTGGTGCTGGGGGAAACGGGGCCGAGCCTGGGGGTTGCTGAGGAGGGCCCGGTTTCTGGGGGCCGAGGGGGACGGTCTGGAAACTAGTCGGGGGGATGCCTTGTGAGGGGGAGGCGCGGCTTCCGGGAAAACTCTGGGGCGGGGGCATGCCGAACTGCTGCTGCGGTGCGTATTGGGGGTTCATTGTGTTCTGAAAGATTTATAGCTGTTGATAAAACCGACAAACAGTAAACATGTTTGGAAAAAAACGTGATAAGAGTGAGTTAGGAAGTGTTTTAAGTATTGCGAGTCCTTGTTATTATTTGGGATAAATAAATCGTGATTGGTTTAATCATCACAGTGACAACAGTTTGTAGAGGTGAGGAAGCTTCCAAAAGTGTGAATAACTGGGGGCAGACAAAGGGCCCCTAGATGCTAATTATAAAACCTACAAACATATCGATCTCATTATTCGTGAAAGGATTATTTAAAAAAAAATTCCTGACATATGCACAGACCGTATTTTTGAAAACTTCTGACCCATATTTCAACAATTATTTAAATGGTAATAATAAAAGTATTCGGGTGGGAATTGCACACTAAATCAAACCTTGTCTTTCCGGGAACCAAAACTGAACACTTACACTGAATGATCTAACAAAATTCTTGAAAAAAATTAATAAATAAAGGGCATCACTCAAACCCTCCACTTGCAAGTGTGCCACGTAAGGTTATACTGCGCATGATTTGGTTACCTCCACGTCAATCTCACTAAATTTTCGCCCAAAATCCCCCAGAGACGTCAGCTGGTTGTCACATTGAATGGCGTCTAGAGGCAGACCGAATGTTTGTGTTGTCGAAAACCACTGAAAATAAACACGTCGCAATAAAACGACTCTAATTTTGATCCAAACTATTAATTATCTGGATATATTTAGTCACTGTTGCGAGAACGCATGTCCGCAAAAAAGTTGCCGTCTGTGTTGAGGCTGTCATGTTGTCACACAAATGTCACTTGTCAAAAATGTAAACCGAAGCATGACAACAAAATGCATTTTAATTGTTTGTAGTGTGATTGCATTAATCGCAATTTATTGGCCCGCTCGACATGCTCGTCATTACGATTACATCGATTTAGCAGACGTGTACGATGAACTGTTATTCGTACATGTCAAAACCAACAAACCTAACCTCAAATACTGTGATTACGAAGATGTGATCGTGAACAATAGCGACGTGGATGTCGAGGAAGTCGTGGAACAAAGACGCTTCTACAGACCGAAAAACGGTAACCTTGACATTCCTGTTAACCCTTTTCCTGTAAGTCAGTTTTCAGGCGGCGAGTACATTCCCCGAACATGCAACCCTTTGTTGAAAGTCGCTGTGATAGTCCCCTACAGGAATCGATCTCAACAGCTAGATGTTTTCCTTAATTACATGCACAATTTTTTACAGAAACAGCTGATTGTGTATAGGATTTTTGTAGTAAATCAGACTGATAATTTACCTTTTAATCGAGCGAAAATGCTTAATTATGGCGCCAAGGTTGCGATGGATATGGATTTCCCTTGCCTGATTTTACATGACGTTGATTTACTGCCACTGAACAGTGGGAATATTTATAGTTGTAGCAAAAAACCGCGGCATATGTCCAGTAGCTTAGATACTTTTAGGTAATTGGAGTTTGTTGTGTAATTATTTATTATGATTTTTTTTCTTGTAGGTTTAACTTGCCATATTTAACTTTATTTGGGGGGGCTGTGGCGATTTCTTCTGAACACTTCCAAGGTATCAATGGTATGTCCAATCAGTTTTATGGCTGGGGTGGAGAAGATGATGACTTTTACAGGTTTTAGAATCACACTTTTTTGAAATGTTTTATACAATGAGAGTTTGTAGGAGGCTTGAAATCCACAGCTTGTTGCCATACCGTTTCACACCCATTATTAGCAAGTATACAATGTTGTTTCATAAAAAAGAGAAAGCTAGGTAAGAATATATATTTTGTATTTTTATTTTTAATTAAAATTTATGTTTTATTGAAGTTTTTTATTGTTTTTATTTACCATTTCAGTCCAAGTAGGTACGCTATGTTAGAGAAGTCAGTTGCGTTGCACAGAATGGATGGTTTATCCTCTCTTCCAGCAAATTACTCAGTCAAATCAGAGAAATTGTACACTCTGGTAATGGCCTCTTAGGCGAAATTAGTGACCACGTACCTACTATTTACCAAATTGTTGTTAACTGTTTAATATTGTAGTTATTTATTTACTAGTATTAGGGGTCTTGTTGTGTACCGCTGTTTCAGTTATTGAAGTTTGAGACCACTTGCAATGGTTGAATGTATAAAATGGTGATAAAATTGTTATAGGTAAAGGTATTCAAACATAAACATTTAAGTCAAATATGCGATATCATGTTATTTTGATAAAAGAGCTCAATTGTGTCTATTTTTTATATTTATTGTTAAACAAATCGATTTGTTGAGGAATTTATTTATTTGTGTCATTCATGTATCTTTATTTTTTTATGTATTAATTTTAACTAGTCTTAAGTTTTTTACGAAAACACGTATTATATTCTCTGATTTTTGTTTTTTTTTACACGAACTCTGTTCAAAATTGACGTTGTTGGTTAAAATTTCGTCATTCTTGGTTAGATGGCGCCACAGAAAAAACACCTCTACGTCACAAAGTTTCGAATGCAAAAACCAAGCCAAATTTTACAAAATTACGATGACTGGGAAGTTACCTTGAATGTTAATGAATGTTAAACGAACCGGAGAACTTTATTTCAAATGCCACATTGTATTGTTTGCAAGAATTTTTTAGCTATAGAACAAACAAAACTTGTTTTAAGTTTGTAGAAGTTACATAAGCTTGAATAGAATCGTGAAGTCAAAGAAATTCGAAATAATGCTTTGTAAGAGCTTTTAAAAAGTTTTATTATTGTTATGGAGATTTTTATTTAGTTTCCTCTAAGTGGTGTACTTAAAACTTTATTAATTTTAACTTTACGATTAGGTAATGAAACTGTCTCACTGTAACTCGCTCCCGTTGAATAAACAATACAAATTTAATTGATTTTCTTTTCACACCACTCATCCAAATCAATAGTGAATTAGTTGAATTAGGGTGAACGAGAATTAATTAATAATTTTATTAAAAATTAAAGAAGAGCTACTGTATTACTTACAGGTTAATGAAGAAACAAGTCAAATTTTAGCCAGGAGCACGCCTCAAGGTTTTATGTCGTTAATAGATTGAAAAATTGAGAAATAAAAAGTCCTGAATTAAAAAAAACGGATAACTGAAAATCGAAAAATCAAAAAAAAAAAAAATGAAGACGAAAAAATGAAACCTTAAACAAAATCGAAAAAGTGAAAAATCTAAAACCTGAAAAATCGTCGAAAATCAAGAAATGGGAAAATCAAAACATCGATTAACAGAAAAATCAAAAATTGAGAAAACGTAAAAGTGAAACATCGGAAAATTCAGAAATAGAGAAATTGTAAAATCGAAAAATTGAATAATAATCTGAAAAATCCCAAAACTGAAATTTCGAAAAATTGAAAATTAACGAAAAACTGAAAAATCTCAAAACTGAAATATCCAAAAACTGAGAAATTAAAAAATCGAAAAATTGAATAATAGATAACTTGGAAAATCCCAAAACTGACAATTTTCGAAAAATTGAAAACTGAAAGAAAAACGTATTTTACATATTTTTATATATTTCAAAGGGCGATTCTGGAAGAACCATTGGCGTTATCGAAGAAATGATTTGTGCGGCCCGAAATCTACAAGAAAATGTATTTAGTGAAATTTCGAAAATTTTGTTGAAAATTGGTCGAAAATTTTACATATTTGTTAATGTTTCAAAGGACTATTCTGGAAAAACCAATGGAGTTATCGAAGAAATGAAGGCGGATATGACTTCTGCGGTCCGAAATCTACAAGAAAAAGTATTAAGTGAAATTTCGAAAATTTTGTTGAAAATTGGTAGAAAATTGGGGTATTTTGCATATTTTTGAATGTTTCAAAGGACGATTCTGGAAAAAAACCAATGGAGTTATCGAAGAAATGTTTGCGGAAGTGACATCTACAGCCAGAAATCTACAAGAAAATATATTTTGTAAAATTTCGAAAATTTTGATGAAAATTGGTGGAAAACTGGTGGGTAAATTGCATTAAATCTATATTTCAACGGGCGATTCTGGGAAAACCAATCGAGTTATCGAAGAACTGTTTGCGGAAGTGACTTCCACTGCCCGAACTCTACAAGAAAATGTATTTTGCAAAATATCGAAAATTTTGATGAAAATTGGTGGAAAATTGGTGGACAAATTGCATTAAATCTATATTTCAAAGGGAGATTCTGGGAAAACCAATCGAGTTATCGAAGAACTGTTTGCGGAAGTGAAATCTATGGCCCGAAATCTACAAGAAAATGTATTTTGTGAAATTTGGAAAATTTTGATGAAAATTGGTGGAAAATTGGCATGTAAGTAACATTAAATCTATATTTCAAAACGCGATTGTGGGAAAACCAATCGAGTTATCCAAGAAATGTTTGCGGAAGTGACTTCTACGGCCCGAAATCTACAAGAAAATGTATTTTGTAAAATTTCGGAAATTTTGATGAAAATTTGTGGAAAATTGGTGGGTAAATTGTATTAAATCTATATTTCAAAGGGCGATTCTCGGAAAACCAATCGAGTTATCGAAGAACTGTTTGCGGAAGTGACTTCTACGGCCCGAAATCTACAAGAAAATGTATTTTGTAAAGTTTCGGAAATTTTGATGAAAATTTGTGGAAAATTGGTGGGTAAATTGTATTAAATCTATATTTCAAAGGGCGATTCTCGGAAAACCAATCGAGTTATCGAAGAACTGTTTGCGGAAGTGACGTCTTCGGCCCGAAATCTACAAGAAAATGTATTTTGTAAAATTTGGAAAATTTTGATGAAAATTGGTGGAAAATTGGCATGTAAATTACATTAAATCTATATTCCAAAAGGCGATTGTGGGAAAACTAATCGAGTTATCCAAGAAATTTTTGCGGAAGTGACTTCTAAGGCCCCAAATGTACCAGAAAATGTATTTTGTAAAATTTCGAAAATTTCGATGAAAATTGGTGGAAAATTGGCATGTAAATTACATTAAATCTATATTCCAAAAGGCGATTGTGGGAAAACCAATCGAGTTATCCAAGAAATGTTTGCGGAAGTGACTTCTACGGCCCCAAATGTACAAGAAAATGCATTTTGTAAAATTTCGAAAATTTCGATGAAAATTGGTGGAAAACTGGTCGGTAAATAGCATTAAATTTATATTTCAAAGGGCGATTCTGGGAAAACCAATCGAGTTATCGAAGAAGTGTTTGCGGAAGTGACTTCTACGGCCCGAAATTTACAAGAAAATGTATTTGCAAAATTTCGATAATTTTGGTGAAAATTTTTGGAAAATTGGTGGGCAAATTGCATTAAATCTATATTTCAAAGAGCGATTCTGGGAAAACCAATTGAGTTATCGAAGAACTGTTTGCGGTAATGACTTCTACGGCCCGAAATCTACAAGAAAATGTATTTTGAAAAATTTCGAAAATTTTGATGAAAATTGGTGGAAAATTGGTCGGTAAATTGTATTAAATCTATATTTCAAAGGGCGATTCTGGGAAAACCAATCGAGTTATCGAAGAACTGTTTGCGGTAATGACTTCTACGGCCCGAAATCTACAAGAAAATGTATTTTGAAAAATTTCGAAAATTTTGATGAAAATTGGTGGAAAATTGGTCGGCAAATTGTATTAAATCTATATTTCAAAGGGCGATTCTGGGAAAACCAATCGAGTTATCGAAGAACTGTTTGCGGTAATGACTTCTACGGCCCGAAATCTACAAGAAAATATATTTTGAAAAATTTCGAAAATTTTGATGAAAGTTACTGGAAAATTGGTCGGTAAATTGCATTAAATCCATATTTCAAAGGGCGATTCTCTGAAAACCAATCGAGTTATCGAAGAACTGTTTGCGGTAATGACTTCTACGGCCCGGAATCTACAAGAAAATGTATTTTGAAAAATTTCGAAAATTTTGATGAAAATTACTGGAAATTGGTCGGTAAATTGTATTAAATCTATATTTCAAAGGGCGATTCTGGGAAAACCAATCGAGTTATCGAAGAACAGTTTGCGGTAATGACTTCTACGGCTCGAAATCGACAAGAAAATGAATTTTGAAAAATTTCGAAAAATTTTATGAAAATTGGTGGAAAATTGGTCGGTAAATTGTATTAAATCTATATTTCAAAGGGCGATTCTGGGAAAACCAATCGAGTGATCGAAGAACTGTTTGCGGTAAGGACTTCTACGGCCCGAAATCGACAAGAAAATGTATTTTGAAAAATTTCGAAAAATTTTATGAAAATTGGTGGAAAATTGGTCGGTAAATTGTATTAAATCTATATTTCAAAGGGCGATTCTGGGAAAACCAATCGAGTGATCGAAGAACTGTTTGCGGTAATTACTTCTACGGCCCGAAATCGACAAGAAAATGTAGTTTGAAAAATTTCGAAAATTTTGATGAAAATTGGTGGAAAATTGGTCGGTAAATTGTATTAAATCTATATTTCAAAGGGCGATTCTGGGAAAACCAATCGAGTTATCGAAGAACTGTTTGCGGTAATGACTTCTACGGCCCGAAATCTACAAGAAAATGTATTTTGAAAAATTTCGAAAATTTTGATGAAAATTGGTGGAAAATTGGTCGGCAAATTGTATTAAATCTATATTTCAAAGGGCGATTCTGGGAAAACCAATCGAGTTATCGAAGAACTGTTTGCGGTAATGACTTCTACGGCCCGAAATCGACAAGAAAATGTATTTTGAAAAATTTTGAAAATTTTGATGAAAATTTTTGGAAAATTGGTGGGTAAATTGCAATAAATCAATATTTCAAAGGGCGATTCTGGGAAAACCAATCGAGTTATCGAAGAACTGTTTCCGGTAATGACTTCCACGGCCCGAAATCTACAAGAAAATGTATTTTGAAAAATTTCGAAAATTTTGATGAAAATTGGTGGAAAATTGGTCGGTAAATTGCATTAAATCTATATTTCAAAGGGCGATTCTGGGAAAACCAATCGAGTTATCGAAAAACTGTTGGCGGAAGTGACTTCTACGGCCCGGAATCTACAAGAAAATGTATTTTGTAAAATTTCGAAAATTTTTATGAAAATTGGTGGAAAATTAGTCCGTAAATTGCATTAAATCAATATTTCAAAGTGCAATTCTGGGAAAACCAATCGAGTTATCCAAGAAATGTTTGCGGAAGTGACTTTTGCGCAGGGGCGGCTGGTGGGTCAAAATTTCGGGTCGGCCAAATATTTTGAGTCTACACCTTGGTCTTATATATTTTCGTAATGTATGGCCGCTACTCGTTAACCACTGACATTTTACGTGCCAGGATATACAAAACATTTCAAATGTTTCGACCTCGACTTGTTAAAATAATTTTTTTATAGGAAATTGACAATGTCAGTTTGATTCCAAATACTATTAATACTTAATTCTACTTGTTCTGCTTTATCATTAATTGAGAACCACCAAAAAATTATTTTTACTGGGTTCCGCGTCGACCGGCAGCTATACGGCTTGCCGACCCCGGACATCCACAATTAAATAATAATAACTAAATAATGACATGCAGTTAAAAAATATAAAAAAAGTAATAATAAAAGTACCAACTGTTAACTATCTTCATTTACATTTAATTTTTTTTAAATGTATAGGTATGGCAAATTGTCAAATAAATTAATTGAATAATTATTGAATTAAAATTAAAATGATTTAAAACTTTAAATTCATTTCTGAAATATCTGAAAACGCTTAGATGCTAAAAATACAGAAAAAGCGCATTTATGTTGTAGCTAAGTTATGTACGAACAATAAAATTTTAGATAATTTAATGTAATTTTTTTCGTTTATTATTCATACACAGGAAAATGTATTAAATCAACAATTATTATTAAAAAAAAAATAGTATGCACTGAAGAACATCGAAGCCGTTATTGTTTTGTA